GGGGATCATTCTCAGCTGTGTGATGGGCCAGATTTGGTCCTCAGGCTGTGAGGTTGACACATGAATCCTAAACCTAACAGGTCAAAGTAAATAAATATATCTGCTGCTGAGAGGCACAAGGCAATGTGATGAACATTTACTGCAGCAGGTTTGAGCAAATAAAAACATGCCTTTATCGTGTCGTCATCATCTGCTATTATTTTCTTGTCGTTTCACGTTGGAGCTGAATGTCAAACGGGTTTAAAGTGTCTGATAGGCCAGTGAAAAGAAATCTGTATGTGTGCGCTGAATAAAAAGACTTTACAAAAGACGTTTCCAGTGTTTGGTCACTCACATTTATTTAACTTCAAAGAGTCGAGCTGTGACATAAAAATAAAAGGGTGTTTAGGTTCAAACATGAAGCTCACATTCAAGGACAAACTGATGAATGTCACCATTTTTCATCAGGATCAAAGTGAAAATGTTGCATCTACATGTCGACTCTGAGTTTTCCAGATAACTTACAAACGACATAATTATGAAACATCAAAAGTGATGGAGTCGTGCAAAAAAACGAAGCTTTCTGTTGACATAATGTTCGTTTGTGATGCAGGTTTGAGTCTGAACCCTGAAAAAATACAGTTAAAATTAGAGGTAAAGATTGAACATCTATTTAGCTCTTTAGGCAGAGATTAAACAGCAGCTGCGAGGAATGAGGGTAATATTATTATATTATCCACAGATGTCATTCACACCCAGAGTGTCTCTCCTTCCTGTTGCTCTGTGTCTCCTGATGATCACTTCCTGTCCTCATCTACACACATTATTCTGCCCCCGGTGTTTTCATCTGTAGGAAACTTCTTTCAGTTTGTGTACAGTATTGTTTACCCAGACTAACCTGACATCACATCAGTGTGACAACATCTGCAGCTCACTTCAGGTTTTTATTTATGATTTTTAATTAAATATATTTTGTTATGCGTATTACTAAAACGCTTCGCCTGGTTTGATATAACATTATCACACATTTATATATATTTTTAATTATTGGTTAATTATTAACAGCAGCCCCCCCTCCCTCCGCTCCCTCCTCCCCCTCAGCGGCCCTGTGTGGGTCAGACAGGAACAATATGGCGCCGGGAGGAACGTTAGCATCGGGACCAGTCGTTGTCTGAGAGACTGGTGATCCGGCAGGATGAACCTCTGCGCCCAGTACCTCCGGTAAGTTCACCGC